AAGACAGTGGTTTGGGCTTTTTTAAACTGAAGATATGTTTTGGTTCAGTCGCAATGGAAATTTTACTAGCATCCAGCAACTTTCACTTTGACTGGCAATTTCTAAGGGTTTGGATGACTCAAACACTAAATTTTTGTTGTTCAACAGGGTCAGATGCCATCTCTCCTGTAGAGTTGAGACACTTCAATTAAAACACCCATAGTTTTGGACAGCAGACCACTGTCCTGAATAAAAGAGGTGGGAATTGGTGCCTCTTGGTTTGCAGAAGATGCTGGAATAGCCTGTCCTGTCAGTGCTGCTTGGATATTAACTCAGAGAAAACTACTTTTTTCACTCTAGATGGGGACCTTGCCTAGGCTGACACAGGCACACTCCAAACAGAACCTATGAGAAACAGAATGAGAAAAACTGACAACAAAGGCACACACACACACACAAAAGCTTGGGGAAGCTACTACAGTCCTTTTCAAAAAGGTATCTTCCATGCAACATACAAGTCCAGCTCTGAAATTCCATTTGTAACCTCCCCTTCACCCCAAGGTGCAGCTGCCAGTGTCCAAGGAGCCAAGGCCCAGCTGACTAATCTTAGCTCAAACAATGCAGAAAATTAGTAAGCTGCGCAAAAGACCTGTGAGAAAGTCTGTAAAAAAAATAAGGAAGGAGACGTTAGAAACTGAGGTGGGAATAGAAAGATGGGACCATTGGCAGTGCAAGGACTCAAGAAGAAAAATACCAAGAAAGCTATTGTGTTTGAAAGGGGTGAAAAAGAAGTCAACTTGGCAGTGATCAGCTGGCTGTCAGTCAGGCCAGCATGTCCACATGACAGGACATGAGTATTAATGGCTTTCATGGATGACGACAATTTATTGATATTGGGGATATGAGAATCTGTCCCAGGGTGCAGCAAAAGCTTTCTCCTTCTGCCCAATTCCTGCCCAGCCTGCCAAGAATCTTCAGGTGTCTTACCAGAGGTGGTGAGCCCACCTAGCTTAAGCTAAGATTTAATGAACTACTGGTTATCTTTTGCATCTTTGCCACTAACTGCTTTCTACTCTTTAAGCTGCATATATTCCTGCTCGCAGAACTTGTTTGCATACAGATAAAGAGGCACAGTGGTTCATAAAAGGGTCAGTAAGAATCATCTGTATAAAATGATCAATGTAACTGAAGACATCTGTGTTGAAGTGGTTTTTTCATCTCAAGACTGAATCCCAGGTAACCTCCTGGTCCCCATTTTTCCCCATTTCTATAATACATTGTGGGCCTTTCCACACCCTGCACGTCTCTGCCTCCACCACCACTGAAATTCTACCTCTGTATCACTCGCTTATCTGTTTGGTCTGAGGGACAAGCAAAAGCCAAGAGCAAACTATATGCCAGCTGGCTGGGTTGGCTAGTTGTCTGACTAAGTGAATCATGTCAAAAAAAGCACACCTGAGACCACTAGTGGTCATGAGCTGTTATAAGCCAAGTGCAGCGCTTCTCCTCTTGAGATTTCCACTCCTCTGACACAGTTAGCTGAAGCTGGAAAACAGCTTGAAAGCACTAGGAGCCTCTTCTTCCCCATGCTACACAAACACAGCAAGTATGGTGAGAGAAGCCCTAATTTAATAGGAAATCCAGGATAAAAATTTGATGGCACCTGATGTATTCAGTGAGCATGCATGACAGTAAGTTAATGAGCTTGCTAAAACAAATGTTTCCAGTACCTTTCAGTTCACTGTCCTCTTCTCTGCCTTTGCTCTCTTCTTTTCCTACTGCTTGCTGTTGAGCTGCAAGTGCAGTGAGTTGTGCAGACTGTTTAATTAAGGACACCCTGTAGAAATAATTTCTCCAAAACACCTCCTCCTTTACGCTAGAGAGAAGAAATAAATTTTGATTACTACATTTGGAAATATAGTTCCTTTTACCATCTAGCCATGAAATAAAATTAAATATGCAGAGAGGAGTAGACATAGTTGCTATTTAAGTAAAAACTTAAAAAAAGAATTTGTGGTATTAACGCATTTTAAAAAATCTATCGTAGAATTACTTGATCCCTTACAAGGCAGTTGCAACAGACAAACATATAATAATAATGTTACAACTTCAGAAAAAACTTAACAGCATGCAGCAACACACAGTATGGAAAAATGTTATGCTATTCCATCTCTCTTGACAAATTATGTAAACTAATCCAACAAGCCAAACAACCCTGTTCTCTTTACTTCCTCTCTAAACTCAACATTCAATTGTTGTCAAACTATATTCATCTACATCTTCCCTAGACATCAGATGGAACTGGAACACCTTTGATAGCAGAACTATTTCACTTAGCTGTACCTCTTTCAGTAACCGTTAGTAACTAGAAACTGACATCCCAGAAACGACCAGCTTTGATAAGTGGGAAACTATCCCATATTTCAGGTAACATTTCCCTCTGAAATCCCTCCAGCAAAAAAGAAAAGACACAGCTTTAACCCAGAGGCAAAAGAAGGCAGAAATGGTATGACCTGTGGGGAGGAAGGTATGTAGGTCAAGAGAGAAAGGGAGAAAGAGGGAGAAAGAGAGAGAAAGAGAGAGAAAGAGAGAGAGAGAGAAAGAGAGAGAGA